ACAAGTCCCCACCACTCCCAGTGCAGGGGCAGCGAGGCCCAGGACACAGGGAGGCAGACAAGGCAGTGGGGGAAGGAGCCTTTTGGGCAGTCTGGGATCTAGATGGTTCGAGGGGCCCCACTCCGCTGACCCCATTCCTGCACCCCCAATCCCTCCTGACCCACAAAGAACTGGCCCCTGCCCCAGGCCTCTGTGTTCCTCCCGGGAATTCAGAGCCATAATCGCTAACAGGGGACCTGCTCTGCACTTGACCCCCAGCCCGGGGTGCTGAGGTGACCCGGGTCCTCCCTGCCCACAGGCCCTCAGAGGCTGGGGGTCACAGGAGTGTCGGGAGAACCACTGCACTGACTGGCTGGGCTCCCCGAGACGGGCTCTGAAGAGTGGTCCTGCCTGGGCACATTCCCAGTTGGGTATCCTGGGGCTCCCGCCCGCCCCCCGCCCCAGGGGAAACAATTTGCAGGTAGGAGGGGCCGCCCACATCCCTTATTTCCTTCCCCCACACAAGCCTGCCCTGGGCCAGTCATTCTCTCGGCTGGCCAGAGGCCCAGCACTTCCTTTCACATTTATAACGTTTGAACAGTCTTGCGCCAATGCCACCTCCTTCAGGGAGGCTTCCTAGATGCCCTGACCAAAATAAGTGGGTCCTTCTGCTGCTGCCTCACACAAACCCGTGATTTGTCTGCTCGTATGTCTGGGTCCCCATTATCCTACAAACTCATCCAGGGCAGAGGTCCCAGCTTCCTCATTCCTGGGTCCTTCCTGACCCTCTCCCCCCCCCCCCCACTGTGACACACAAGACCCTCCAGAAGAGCAGGTGGGAAACAAGGTCAGTTTGGGCATGAATTCACCGCAGGGCACAGCACCCTCCCAGCGTCTGTCCCCCGTGTCCGTGGGGAAGTGGCTCTATGGGATGGCAGTGGCACTCGCTGCCCTCCCCCTACCCCCGGGGGGGTTCCAGTTGGCAATGAGGACCAAGCCACCAGTTTAGACATGGCACTTCCCCCCAGCGCAGCTAAGATCCAAATGGCTGCAGTCTATCCACACAAAGGGTCTTTGTTCAAGCCCTTCTCACGGTTGGAAGGTTGGCTTGGCCATGAGGGCCAAACTCGGGGCTGGCTGTCTTTCCTCCTGGTACCTGCAGCGAAGCCTGGTCTGGCACAGAGCATGTCCTAGAACCCGCCAGGCGAGGAGGCCTCAACCATAGGTTTGGAGAGGCCTGGCTTCAAATTCCTTCAGCTGGCCTGCCCCGCGTCCCAAAGCACCAATGCCAGAGCTGGAAGGGGCTCTGAGCCCCTCTATCCCATCCTCTGAGGTGTAGCTAAGAGGCAAATGGAGCCCAGAGAAGGAGAGCAGCATGCCCAGGGTCACACAGCCACGTCTCCAACTCCCAGCTCAGACTCTTTGCAGTTAACAGGCTGTCCCATCCCTACTCGAGGACCCCTCTCCTATCCTGCCCTCCCCTCAAGGTCAGGCCAAGGCCCACCTTCCCAGTGCGCCTTCTGGGATCCCCTCCCCGGTTCCATCCAGCATGGGGATGGACCCTCACTGGCTTGAAGAAGGAAGAGCTTCTGCCCAGAATGCCCTCCTCGCCCTCTGGCCTCAGCAAACTTCTACCCACCCTTCAAGGCCCAGTTCAAACGTGACGTTCCCGGGGCACCAAAGACAATAATCGCTCCCGTCTCCTGAGCACCATCTCCATCGTGCTCTGGAATGCCAACAAGTTAACGCAGAAACTACCAGAGGTGTTTCTCCTGCTTGGCACCCAAGTTCCTTGAGGGCAGGGACGGGGCTCTCTGCGAAGCAGGGTAATAACATCTGCATGCACACCGCGTACGACCGGCGGGCTTTACAAACCATACGGCGCTGGGCAAACAAGCTCTCTGCCTATCCTCAGATCTTCCCCCCACGGCTGTCTCCCCGTCTATACAGCGGGTGAAAATAATGAGTGCACATCCCCGTGTGCAGGCCGGGGCTGTTGCTGCTCTATTCCTCGGGTCACTTTCATTTTCTTACGTCTCCCTGAGGACCTCACCCACGGCCAGTGGTCAGTACGTATGTTTTTAGAAAGAAGGCCTTTTGGGACTTGAGGTGCTAAAGAAGATGGGGTTAAAATCCAAAGACCACACACAGATACAGACTCAAATCCGATCAGAAATGTTACACCGTAGGGGCGCCTGGGTGGCTCCGTCCGTCGAGCGACGGACTTCGGCTCAGGTCGTGATCTCGCGGTTTGCGAGTTCGAGCCTCGCCTCGGGCTCTGTGCTGAAAGCTCAGAGCCCGGAGCCTGCTTCGGATCCTGTGTCTCCCTCTCCCTCTGCCCCTCCCCTGCTCATGCTCTGTCTCAGAAATAAATAAACATTAAAAAATTTAAAGAAAGAAAGAAAGAAAGAAAGAAAGAAAGAAAGAAAGAAAGAAAGGTTGCACTGTGGCCTTTGGGTCCAAAGGGGGCTCAGCTGGGTCACCGTGAACAGCCCCTTGCTCTCATGGGACCCGGAGCAGTTTTCCGGAATGGGCTGGAAATTCTGAAATCCTTGCCCCGGGGAGGCTTCTGCACTGGGCTGTGGCTAGGGACTGGCTCCAGAGACAGCCGAAGGCAGCAGCAGTGGCCTGGGGGCAAGCCAAAGCAGTGGTAGTCATACCACAGGTAGTAATGCTGTTGATCGTCCACTGACAGCTTTGAGGCCCCAACATACTTTCGTGGGGGCAGCGGAAGAGGCGGTGGCCGCAGCCCTGTCACTGAAGAGCCAACAGCCTCTGTGGCTGCGGACCGGAGAGGGAGTTCACGGTGCGATTCGGTCAAGCCACTGGTTTGCACCAGCACTTTCTGTCTCGCCCTCTGCACAGACACCGCATCCCTGGGCGACTGCAAACATCAGTCACCCCTTAGGGGGGGTGATGATGAAAAAAAGAACAAGAAGCCCTGGCCCACATCAAGGCAGTGTGACAATCAGCAGGAAGACACCGTGCAAGGACGGGGACACGGGGAGAAATGCTCCCAGCCCCACTAGTGAAGAAAGATTCCCCCTTAGCATCCTCCCGATCTGACGCATCCCTCACTTAAAGCGGAAGGGCAGAGGAGCACGGGGGTCCTTTCCTGAGACGCGTCAGCTCATACCTGACAAAGCGTGACAAAGTAAAGCCTGGGACTGCCACACGGGCTCCCAAGCACCTGAGACACTGGGGATGGAGCCAAACTCCAGCACGAGTCAAGGCTCCGAGAGGGCCACCCACGGCTTTGGGGTTTGCCGTACAGAGCCAACTAGCAGGCGTTCTGAGCTTGGGTGGAAGGAACTCACTGAGAGGGGCGCCTGGGTGGCTCAGTCGGTTGAGCGTCCGACTTCAGCTCAGGTCATGATCTCGCGGTCCGTGAGTTCAAGCCCCGCATCGGGCTCTGGGCTGATGGCTCAGAGCCTGGAGCCTGCTTCCGATTCTGTGTCTCCCTCTCTCTCTGCCCCTCCCCCGCATTCATGCTCTGTCTCTCTCTGTCTCAAAAATAAAAAAACATTAAAAAAATATATTAAAAAAAAAAAAAAAAAAAGGAACTCACTGAGCTCCTGAGTGGCTCAGTGAGTTAAGTATCTGACTCTTGATTTCGGCTCAGGTCATGATCTCACGGTTCGTCGATTCGAGCCCCGCGTTGGGCTCCACACGGACAGTGCAGAGCCTCCTTGGGATTCTCTCTCTTGCCCTCTCTCCCTGCCCCTCATCCGCACATGCACGTGTGTGCTCTCCCTCCCTCTCTCTCTCAAAATAAATGAACTTTAAAAAAGAAATCTGGGGGTGCCTGGGTGGCGCAGTCGGTTAAGCGTCCGACTTCAGCCAGGTCACGATCTCGCGGTCCGGGAGTTCGAGCCCCGCGTCAGGCTCTGGGCTGATGGCTCAGAGCCTGGAGCCTGTTTCCGATTCTATGTCTCCCTCTCTCTCTGCCCCTCCCCTCGTTCATGCTCTGTCTCTCTCTGTCCCAAAAATAAGTAAACGTTGAAAAAAAATTTTTTTTAAATATAAAAAAGAAATCTGGTTTTTTTTAAATTTTTTTTTAATGTTTATTTATTTTTGAGAGAGACAGAGACAGAATGCGAGTGGGTTAGGGGCAGACAGAGAGGGAGACACAGACTCCGAGGCGGGCTCCAGGCTCCGAGCTGTCAGCACAGAGCCCGACGCGGGGCCCGAACTCACGGGCCGTGAGATCATGACCTGAACCGAAGTCAGACGCTCAACCGCGGGAGAGGAGGCGTCCCCGAAAATCTGTGCTGTGTGGCACTGTCACCACATAGCCACCCAGGCACCCCAAGAAATCTGTTTTTTTTTTTAAAAAAGGGGAGCACTCACAGAACGGAGCACTGGGAAAGAGCAGGCTGACTTTAAGACCAAAGACAGTGGGGGATGAGGAAGGACGTAACAATAACAAAAATAACGGCAGCTAACACCAACAGAGCCTTGACCCCATGCCAGGCAGGTGCTGACCACCCACCACATTGCCTGGTAAGGTAGGTCCTATTATCGTCACTACCACTCAGCCCCGGGAGGGCGTGGACCATGTCTGTGGCATCCCCCAGAGCCTGAACAGGGCTGGCCACATAGGACGCACACAGTAAATGTGTGCATTATGCATAAATCCTTGCTTCACACAGGAGGGAAGGCAGCGCAGAGTAATTAACATCTCCAAAGCCTCAGGGCTACCGGGTGGCCCAGCCAGGATTCAGCCCCAGCAGAGCCCGCCTTCCTTACCGCTGCATGTGTCTGGGCTCAGAGAATCCTGCTAGCTTAAGCCGTGGTCCCAGCGCGTCCGGTGGGGGAATGGACAAGGCATCATCCTAACCAGATCTTCCGCACCTGCCAGAGCGTGAACCTGGTGGCCAGTGGGGCATGCAGAGCTCTCCAGAAGCAGTGAGGCCTGTGACTGGCCCAAACCACACATTGTGCCCCCAGGAGTCCCAAACACGGGGAGCCAAGGAGAAAACCACGCCAGCCTGGCTCGGGTAGCCAGGCTTGTCCCTTACCAATCCGTCGCAGTTGCTGATGGCGACAGCTGCCCCTGGCATGCCCGTGACGTCCCCGGTGTAGACACACTCCCGCCGCAAGGGCTGTCGGAACAGCTCCCGAAAATCCTCCTGCCACTCCACGGAGGCTCCGGGCACCACCAGCCGTCGGTTGGGCCGTAGGCGCAAATGCAGTTCCTCCCCGAAAACAGTAACATTGAAGTAGAGGGAGGAGCGCCCCACCCGGCCAGGCTGCAGGGTGGCTCCTTTGCGGCGCAGGGGGCTGCGGGCCACCCGGAGGTGACCTGAGCGTGACCGTGGTGCGGGTGGCTCATCCACTATTGCACTCCCTGAGGAGGCTGCTGCTGGCCCAGACAGCACGTGGGAGAGGAAGCGTCCCCGAAAGTCTGTGCTGCATGGCACTGTCACAACATAGTCACTGAGCTTTCCGGAGAGGCGCAGCTCTGCTGGAAGTAAACAAGGAGTTACATCAATGTAGTCTGTGCAAAGGTAAGGGGAGACCAGCAATCCCACGGGCGGAGAGAGCTCTGCAACCCTCAGCATCATCTCGGAGGGACCTCTTAGCCCAAGTTCATCCGATAGCCATCCAGTGCTTCCTGAGCCTCTGGATCTCTGTACTTAGATGAACGGTGTTCAAGTACTCTGTGCACATAACTTGCTTTCTGTAGTCCCCAAGGCCCTGTTAAACTTAACAGAAGAAAAGAAATGATGCCAGAGTCCTGTCTGTCACTCCAGCCACGAGCCTTCCAACTTTGGGCATTGCCAAGGAAAGGGTTGAAATTCCCCGAAAGCCCCCAGGGCAAGGAGAGGGATGGCGGGATCTGCCCAGACTCCCTCAGTGTGCTGAAGTCACCAGCCCAGCCTGGGGTAGGGCCCTCCTCGCCAAGCTCTCTGAACACAGCCAGCAAAACACACACACCTAGAAACCCAGGGGATCCTGGGCACGTGTCAAGGAGACAGGAGCTGGAGAAGGGAGGGAGGGAGTACAGGTTCTATGTTTGTCCAAGTTTAGAAAGAAAACTTTTTAAAGTAAACAGAGGCTGCTGAGATTTCGACACGGCCCAGCACCAAGCCTGGTAAATATAGATCTTCAAAAATAAAGAAGAGACGCATGGGGTGACCTGCCCACTCGGACTGAATTAAGTGTGAGGTCATGGCCCCATGCTCCAGGCTGCATGCCAGCAGCCCGGTCCTCACACAGCTCTCCCTGAGCCCAGCCAGGCCCAGCAGGAATGACAGCTCGCTGGCTTCCAGGCTTGGTGATTCAGGGACGGGAGTTTGGAGGGATTTTCATTTCCACATGGCTCCGTCTTTTGCCTCCCTTAGCCCCCTTCACACTACCGATGAAACCTAGAAAATGACATCTCCCGAAAACCCCCCATGCTCATGGCAGTTACGGTGGGGGAGTACTGACTCTCCTCTGGTTTTACCCATTGAGACCCCCCCAGGATTTCTGCTAGGGAGATCCCACTTCAGTACATGAGTATAGAGCTCACAGACAAGCAGATGTCCCGCCTAGAAATAACCAGAGTCCCCTCCCCATGCTCAGGTGAGGGTGTGGGGCGTCTGGTCTGTGTGTGAGACGGTGTCTGCACAGAGCCTGAGAATGATGGAGGAGAGAGCTAGCAGTGTGTTTCCCAGCAGGAGTGTGAGGGCCAGGTGCTCACTGGGTGTGGGCAACCACCTGCCAGCCTGACTCCGTGAGGATGAGGCAGTGAGACACGCACACACAAGTTGAGAGACAGTAGGCACTGAAAGTTAAAGGCACACGGGACAGAAACAGACCAATAGAGTGTGTGTGTGTGTGTGTGTGTGTGTGTGTGTGTGCGCGCGCGCGCGCGGGCGCGGGCGCGTGAGAGAGAGAGACAGAGACAGAGACAAATATATAGCCCCTAAGAAGAGACTCCAGATTCCCAAAACCTCTCCGGGGTCTCTCCACCTCTCGTGCCAGAAAGGAAGAGCAAGCTCGGGTCAGCGACCGGGCCATAGGGCAAGAAAGAGCTCAAGCCCAGGGCGCGCACCGCCTCCTGCTCCCCGGAATGCCGCCGGCCCCTCGGGCCCCCTGGGGCCAGCCTGACTCCCGGGCACCCCGGACCCCTCGCGCCCCCGCGCGCCCGACCTGCACGCACCTGGGGTCCGGCTGCCCGCGGCGGCGCAGAGCGCCCAGTGCAGGGGCAGCAGGCAGGACAGCAGCGTGCGGAACGGAGCCATGTGGCCGCGCGCGGACGCGGGCCCGAGGGCGCCCGAGCCCCGGGCTCCGGGCTGCCGACGAGGCTGGAGCGCGCCCCGGACTGCCGAGCGCGGGCCGACCGTCCTCCGCCCCCTCC